AGTTTCATAGGTTTCGGCAAGGGTTGCCCAATCTGGCCAAACACCTCAGTGTAGCAATCAGCACTGGTGCAGGGAGGAGAGCTGAAAATGTTGAAATGGGCATCAGGGAGACACCACAGAAGGAAGACGGTACTTGGGAGAGTCCAATGATGGTTGGCACACCCCAGCTGGTGCATCGACCCCCTCGGATGAGTCAACTCCCCAAGCAGGTTGAGCAATAGGATCTTGCATGTTTAATGAGGGAACACAAGGGAAAGTTATTTAAGAGATGGGGCCTTGGAGGGACCTTCCGGGTGTGAAGCAAAGCATTCTGGGTCTGGCTGAATCCCCAGCTGCACTGACCACTTGCGTCCCGTGCCCTGTAGGGGAAGGAAGGCGGTAGCTATGGATGTGACCATCCCTTCCAGTGGCTCGCAGAGATCCCAGGGCTGACGAAAGAGAATGGTTTTGAGCCCAAGCCAGCTCCATGTCCTGCAAGCATCATTTGAACAGAACCCCTACCCGGGTATAACGACCAGAGAAGAACTGGCCCAAGAGATTGGCATTGAAGCATCGAGGGTCCAGGTTTGGTTCCAGAACCACAGAAGAAGACACCCGAGGAAGAGCCGGCTGGCCTCTGGAGCTGCCTCGGCATCAGCGGCTGGGGAGCAGCCTCCCCCTCGGTGTCCAGGAAGAGTCCCCATGGCGGCCAGACGGAAGCAGACATCCATCAGCAGATGGCAAGCCAGTGTGCTGGTGGAGGCCTTCCAGGAGAACCGGTGGCCAGGGATCCAGACCAGAGAGGAACTGGCTCGACAAACAGGCATCCCTGAGTCGTGAATCCACATCTGGTTTCAGAACCGAAGAGCTTGCCAGGCAAACTCCAGGACAGCAGGGGATTGCGGGGCAGGCAGCTCCCCTCAGAGGCCTGAGGTGCTGGCTGGAGGAGACCAAAGCACTGGGTCTGCTGGAGTGGGCCTGTGTCCTCCTTGGCCAACCTCTCAGGTTTGGGGCAAGAATCCAACCGTTCTGCTCCCTGTCCTCCTGCTGACCCACACAGCTTGTCTTCCTCCCCAGGCCAGCCAGGTGGGAGTCAGCCAGGCCGCAGGGGTCGTGACGGCCCAGCTGCCCCTGGCCATGCAGAGAAAAGAGGTCTCCAGCGTCCTGGTGACACGTGCGAATGCACAGGCAACGGAAAGCACAGTGACCACGCGGTTTCTGGATGCTGGCGTCCCTCCTCGGCCCCAGGACCAAGGAGGAAGTCAGGGAAGCAAGCAAAATGCTGGTCCGGCCGGATCGGGTGGCCGAGCCTCTTGTCGGAGTGAGAATGGAGGGGAGCCTTCGCAGGAGCTGGCTCCAGAACACACAGCTCCCTTCCTGCCAGAGGGCCGTGAGGAGCACCAGGCAGCGATTGCCCCACGACAATCTCCGCACGAGCCCCTGAGTCAGGCCGGACACCCCAA